AGGTTTTGTTTTTTGCGCCTAGTAGTGAGGCTCGTCATGCATGCAATTTTCTGACGAAAAAGGCGGAAAATACTGTAGCTGTCAAGTGACGTCGAATTTGTTGCCACCCGCGCATTACAGTTCGGGTTTTATATTATTTTTTTCGTCGTCAAAGCGCGCTTGTCGTGTTCAAATATGTGAATTCCTTTCCCAAGGGCGTATTTCAATGTTCCATTTACAACGAATTTGCACCGTTTAGTCGGTTATGGAAATGGCGATGCCCAAAAACGAATTTTCGAACTTGTAGTTCTGTAATCATAAATGCAACACGAGCAATAGAACACGCCCTCCAAATATAGGCAACTCGTTGACAGATTTCAATCCGGCTGGGCAGTTTCTGATGGAAGCGAGAAATTAGATGGAACTTCCTTCAAAGCTGTGAGTACTTGGCCATTCCACCCACATTCTCCATCTTTTCTTCCTCCTGCTCCTCTGAATCTTTCTTCTTCCTCCATTCCTCAATCTCACATCTTGTTGCTCACCTTCAGCAATTTTATTCAAGCGTTCCAGCCAACGGCATCCCGTAGTTGGGTAAAGTCATCGTTTCTCTCTCAACGTGTCGTCAACCTCCTAGTTTGCTAGTCATAATAGCCTTTCCCTCCTTTCTTTCTCTAATTCTCTCTGTTCTTATGCTCCTTTCTGTTTTCCTCTAACAAGTAAACATCCTCTCACTTTTCCAATATCTCTTATCTCTCTAGGAGCTCTAGCTTGTTAAGGAACGATGGGTGATCACCTTTGAACTTGATTTCAAGGTACGGATTCTACCGTCCCGCCATGTCCTACTCCTCTACTCTCGTCCATACCTTGTGTTATTTCCGATTTTCTGCACATTTCCCCTTTTCACTCCCCATGCCTTCACCACTCCCTTCCCCTTCCTTCGTTTTCAATCCTTCCTTTCTCCCACCGTTACGGGAAATCGTTCCCTATGTCGCACTTCCTAATTCTCCATGTTTCTCTGTTCTTTCTTGTTCTCTTTATTTCCACGTCCTCTTATCCATGTTTTCCGTTTTCTCTAATTCTGTTAACTCTAATGGTCTGGCTACATGGTGCAACATTGAGCCACCCTTATGGGTGCTGAAATTGCACGATGCTGCCTTTTTACTGCACAATGTTTACTTCATCGTTTTTAACTGTTTTGACTTCTGCCAGGTGCATGCAGTCCTGCTATTGTCTGTTATGGATGGGCACTTGTGGTAATACATTTTTTGTATGCCAAAAACTGGATTGCTCTTATTGTTTCATGAAGGTTCTTTAACTCTCTCTGTGAGTGCTATCAATTGACCTGGAAGCGATAGAGTGAATCAGATTTTGGTATTCACAAAATTTATTACTTTTGTATTATTTAGGCATTAGGCTTGAAGCTTCCCCCCCCCCGGCTAGATCTGGTGAAGCGATTGTCAACATATAGTTGTATATTGTGAAAGCTGCTTAGTCCATCTTGCAAAGGCAGCGTGCTTCATTTCAGATGGGAAGGTTACATGAGTCTCATCGCTAAGCGCACATACATTTGAGGGAGGGTGGGGGAGAACTCAAACTAGAAACTGGAAATGAAGAACGTGGGTGAGGCCAACTGGCCTCACGTCCCTCTTTTGTAGGCAAAAAGAGGGTGAGTAGCGGTGCGCCGCTACCTTTGCTGTGCTGGCCACGTTTCCACTTTCACAATACACAATTTTAGAAAGCGTGTAACACTTTCAAAAATTATCATATTGTGAAAGTTGCTTAGTCCATCTTGCAAAGGCATCGTGCTTCATTTCAGATGGGCATTCTGAGGCATGTGCATCGTGGGTCGCCGGTGTCGCTCGATCGATTGGAGACTGCAATGAGCTGGTGAAGGGGCCGTGGAGGTGTCTTGTAGTTGGTTGGAGACTGCAATGAGCTGGTCCTGAGCAATGGTGACATATAGCTCCTTTGCGCTATCGCTTTTCCAGCGGCCAAGACGCTTGAAGAGACGGTCGGGGACCCCCAGGCCGGCTGCGGCCGTGGCTGCGCCCTTGCGGAAAGAGTGAGTGCTGAGGTGGGAGGCATCGAGGCCGGCCTTCTCGAAAGCTTCAAGGCACCAGTTGCGAATGGTGGGGTACGAGGGGGAGTTGTCTTGCGGGGTCGCGTGCTCCTTTGCCGAATACGCGAATGAGCGGCCCATGCGGCATGCGCGTAAGGCTGGCAAGCTGAATGAAGTGGCGGGTGCATCGAATCGGGCAGCAGGGCCCCTGTGTCGCAGCAATTGGAATCCATGAGCCTTTGCCTTCTTGGTCCGTCTTGGAGTGCGAGATTAGAAGCCACATTACCTCCTTGAACTGAATGTCAGATCAGAGTAGCGCAGGAATGCCGCGAACATGAGAAGAGGGATGAGACCCTTCTGGTATTCCGCCGGAATTGTGGATTCGAGGAAGGGCCGGGCCATGCTGTGAGCTTGGAGCAACAAGAAGGGCTCTTTGTATCTAGTAGGGTGCGGTCCGTAACGTTTGGCATACTCTCGAACTTGCAGCGTGAAGGGGCTGCTCATCGGGGAGGGTTCCCCTGTCATGCGGTGTGCGAAGGCTACAGCGGAGTACGTGAGCAGGGAAATGGCTGACACGGTAGCATGATTGTTGAGCGCATGGATAAGGTACAGCACGAGGGTCAGGTTGGTTGCGGGTAAGAAGCTCAGCTTGGTCGTGATACAAAAGGATTGAAATTTCAACCAGTAAGGCTCATACGTTTGGACTGTGGATGGGGCGCGGACTTGGGTGATGACTTGCAATAGCTGTTTTTGCAGCTTGGGCAATATTCCTGAGATTTAATGCACATAAATTAGGAATTATCTATTATAGTCAAGACTCAAAGCAATTATGGGGCTGTTAGGGAATCCTAAACCCGAAAATGCGGTTGCATGCGTGCCAAGATGCAGACATTGACTTCTGTGGGTAAGAGGGAGATAAGCTACAGCTCTCGACACCCAAACGTTGGGTGAAGGTTGGAGGAGTGGCCACCAGGATGCACCAGACCAATGGGGAACAACCAAAGTCAACTTGGCTTTGGTCCATTGTGTGTGGTGAAGGATCGCCAGGACTAGGTTGGGTGGTGGAAAGGCGAAGCCGCGCTCGCCGTGCCAGCAGACTGAGAACGCATCAATGGCGGTTGCACCCGTATGTGGAATCTTGAAACAGTCTCGCGGTAGTCGTGCGTTATATGTGTTCGCGAAGAGATCAATAGAGTGGGGGCCCCACCTCCGCTCGAGAAGGCGAAACCAGGGGGCTTTGAGTGTGTAGTCGTCATGGTCCTGTATCTTGGAGAGTTCATCGGCGTGAGCATTCAACTCGCGTGGGATCCATTCAATATCGAGGTGTATGAGATTCTCCAAACTAAGACTGATGATTTCCTGGCATAGGAGTGTGAGGGTGGGTTGGCGAGAGCCCCCTTTGCGTATGATGAATACGACACCCTGGTTGTCGACCCCCACGAGGACGTGCCTTCGAACGATCCGAGATGCGAATGTGCGTAGCGCCCATATGACGCCTTCGAGCTCCCTCCTGGTACTAGAGGTTGGAAGAAGCCCATCAGGCATCCGGGCGCTGGCTTCGGTTGCAGATCCTAGAAAGGTGGTGGGGATGGTGTCCCAACTGTGCGCGCTGGCGTCGACGTGGATGACGGCATCGAACAGATGACTTGAGTGGAATGCCGCCCCGTTGAATCGATCGAATTGTGTGCACCAAAACAATAACTCTTCAAATACTGCCGGTGACAGCAACGTCCTGGAGCTCCAAGATGTGGCGTGGGCGATTATTTGTAGTAGCTCATGGCTGAAGGCGCGTGCTGTCGCACCTAGCGCCAGTGCCATCGATGCCAACATACCGGTAACGCGGGCGATCTGCCGGACCGGAATGTGATGTCACGCTTGTCCTTTTACGATGAGGGCCTGGAGGGTGCTCAAGAGTTGCTCCCGTTGTTCCGAGCCAACCGAAAACATGCCCCGGGCTGTGTCCAAAACTAGACCGAGGAAGTGTAATTGTTGGGATGAGTGAAGATGTGACTTCTTCGCATTTGTGACGAAGCCTGCTGCCTTGAGGTCCTGTAAAACCTCGGTACATATGGACCGTGCCTGCTAAGCCGAGTCGCATAGGAAGAGCAAGCTGTCGACATACGGAACGACCCCCACACTTCGTGCACGCCATCGCTTTGCGAGTTGTTAGATGAGTTGAGTGAAGACAAACGGGGCAGTTGCAAGGCCGAATGGTAGAGACCGAAAGTAGTAGTACTCATTTTCGAATTGAAATCCTAAGAACCTCCAGCAAGATGGATGAATCTTGACATGATGGTACCCGGACTTGAGGTCGATCGAAAAAAGCCAATCATTGGGCTGAATGATTTCAGCGACACGGCTCAAACCCTCGTACTTGAACTTGGGAACAACGAGATGCGTGTTGACCTTGCGTAGGTCGAGAATGAGACAACACTTGTCTTGCTGCTCCACCACATTCAGCGGGCTAACACACGTGAACATTGCTTTCAAGGGGGCCTTGACAGCGGATCTAGAAGCCATGAGTTCACTGATGTCAGTGCGGGTAAAGTCTATGTGTGCCCGTGTGCCCGCGTGATTGGTATCGGCGAATGGAGCTGGTGCGGCGCGTGCCCAAGGCAACCAATATCCCTTTGCGATGATTGAGAGAATGAAGCTGCTATCACACCAAGAGCACCACTAGTGTAGTGCATGTCGTAATCGGCTCCGCATGATTGTCACTTGTCGATCTGTGATTGCGTATTCGTGTGGATCCCATTCTGCGGGCTGCCATGCGCCGCCATCAACTGCAGAATGTGTGGGACAAGCAAGGGGGGGTGGGTGTGAGGTCGGCTTGAGGTTTTGAGACACTTGAAGATTTGCAAAGCGCGATGTACCCGACTCTCGGAAATTGTTTTTTCTCCTAACGAGCATAATGTCGGTAATGGCAAGGGTGATTGCGCTATGTGCGTATGCGGATTCGTGACCATTGAGCCAATATAATCCTTTGGTTTCACACCCATCCATAATTCCACTCCCTCATCCAATTTCTTCTTTCTCCCTCTCTCTCTCTCCCTCTCACTCTCTCTCTCTCTCTCACTCTCTCTCTCTCTTTCTCTCTCTCTCTCTCGCTCTCTCTCTCTCTCTCACTCTCACTCTCTCTCTCTTTCTCTCTCTCTCTCTCTCTCTCTCTCTCTCTCTCTCTCTCTCTCTCTCTCTCTCTCTCTCTCGCTCTCTCTCCCTCTCTCTCTATCTCTCGTTTTCTCTTTTGCTTCCCTTTTTCCTTGCTCTCCCTCCCTGTCCTTATCCTTCTTCTGTTGTTGCTGGTGTCTTTCAGCATGGCTCGAGGCATGAGTGAAGCATCATTGCCTCCCGACAAATATCCGTGCTGTTTTTGCTTGTTGCTGTTTCTATTGTTTGTGCTGGTTCCGTGAGTGTGTGCACCATGCCTTACCCATGAGCCATTGCATGTTTTCGGCCAGCAACCTCAAGGAGTGTCTTTTTTTCTTTCTTTCTTTCTTTCTTTCTTTCAATGATAATGATAATAATGAAAGCCCAGACTATCGGCTTATACCATGAGCGAACGTGCTCTACACACAAACGTTGCATCAAACACCTAGGCCTTGTAGCCATTTCTGCCCCTAGGGCTGAAGCTTGTAGGACCCTCTGGTCCCCATGCCTATTCCCAAGGCTTACAACCAGCCCCACACCACTGGTGCACATTACATATGCTCCTGGCATATGAGCGAGGGGCACCACCCCTAAGTCCCCTCACACCACAGGTGAGGGACCTTGCGCGCCACGCCCCCCCATGGGGCAGGCGTTCGCCATGTGACCGGGCTGGCCACAGCGAAAACAGACCCCCTTGAAACGGGGTTCCTGGCAGCCAGCGGCGCCAACACTTCTGCCCTCCAAGTCACCCTCCCGGCCACCAATGTGGGGACCGCGCGTGTAGCCAGTGCGCGCGCGCTTGAGGGTCACCACGTCTGCGACAGCAAGCTTGTAGGAGCGAGAGGTGAGCATGCTCTTCGACTGATACAACTGGAAACGGTCCGCCGCCTCGAAGCCCGCCTCATCCGCCACCAATAGCACCTCGAAGCGCTTGTTGATGAGTTCTTCGATGTGCGTGACGTGGGAGAGGGCGGTTTTGTTGTCGCCGTACTGGAGGTTGTAGTCCACATGCTTCAGGTGTGCCTGGATGGCGGCAAAGACTTCCCGCCTGGTCCCGCACCCCCTACCGGATGAAGGTGGTGGCCGCGGGCGAGGGGTTAAGGGGAGGGAGAGGGGGGGCGGAAGGAAAAATGCGACGACAAGCAATATTATTAGGAGCCTCACCATCGTCGTTGTCAGAGTCGTCGCTGCAAAGCAGCGGTGCGTGTTTCTTCCGACGTGCCGAGGAGGACCTCGACACAAGAGGGGCCCTCGCCAAAAATTTCGGCTGGGCGTTTCTGGCGTCGGTCGGTTACCCCGGGCGAACCTCCGAGCTCCGGAGCGACGGCGGGTGTAGATGGCTTGTTAACCTCCCGGTTAGGAGGCGTGTTCATCGGCACAACCTCCAGCACAGCGACAACGAAAACCCAATCCCTCCCCCGCTTCAAGGCTCCGGCCACACTACTCACCGACATTCTCCCGGTAACGAGGCGTGTTCAGAATACACAATTTTAGAAAGCTGTAACACTTAAAAAAATATCACCTGTTATAAGCTAGATAGGTGCATGCTCATACAGGGTACAGCACCATAGCACAAAACCTCCCTCTATGGCACAATCTAGTTCATTACGTTATTCTGACATGGTATCACGCTAGGCTAGGTCCCCCTCCCTGCCTACCCTTCCGCCCCTAGCCTTAGCCCTAGCCTTAGACCGCGCCCTAGCCCGCACCCTGTCACGCCACACTGGCCCCGTGACGCCGCGCCGGCCTCGTCACGCCGCGCTGGCCCCGTCCTACCGCGCCGGCCCTGTCCCGCCGCGCCGGCCCCATCAAGCCGCGCCGGCCCCGTCAAGCCGCACCGGCACCGTCACGCCGCGCCAACCCGTCACTCTGCCCCGGCCCCATCTCGCCGCGCCGGCCCCTTCACGCCGCGCCGGCCCCGTCACTCTGCGCCGGCCTCGTAACGTCGCGCCGGCCCCGCTAGACTGCGACGGCCTCATCACGCCGCGCCGGCCCCGTCCCGCCGTGCCGGCCTTGCTATACCGCGCCAGTCCCGTCACGCTGCGTCGGCCCCGTCACTCCCCGCCAGCCCCGTCATGCTGCGCCGGCACCGTCACGCCGCGTCGGCCTCATCACTCCTAGCCGGTCCTATCACGCTGCACCGGCCCTGCCATACGGCGACGCGCCGAGCTGCCGAGCCGCTGCACCATGCCGCCGAGCCGTTGCACCGCCGAGCCGCTGAGCCGCGCCGCCGAGCCGCGCCGCGCTGCACCACCGCGCCGCTGAGCCTCCGAGCCACCGAGTAGCCGAGCCACCGAGTAGCCGAGCCGTCGTGCCGCCGAGCCGCCAAGTAGCCAAACTGCCGAATTGCCGAGTTGACGTGCTGCTGTGCCGCCCCGACTTGCCGGCCTTGGTTCCCACTTCTGTGCCGGCGCTCCCGTCGGCCGTCTCCACCGCTTCTGTCCACCTCCCCCTCCTCCTCATCCCCTAGCGGCGGTCAGCTGCTGCAGCTGTGGCGATGGCGGACACTGTGCTCCGCCTGGACGCGGAGGGTTGGGCGATCGACTTTGAGGCGTGGCTCGCTGACCTCCGTCGCTCGTTGAGAGGACAGCGCCAGAATGGCCAGTCTCTAGCCGTTCATGTTGACGGTAAGTTCCCCTGCTGCCCTCTCCGACGCCCCCACGCCTGCTAAGCATGAGGCCTTTGCAGCTGCTGAGCTCGCTCGCTCCATCTGGGAGTCGCGTAACGTAGTTGCGCAGCTTGCTATCAGTCGCGCCCTCCCTCTGTCTGAGCGCCCCCGCTACCAGGCCGCTTCCAGAGACTGCGCAGGTGTACTTAGATGCTGTTATTGCACACTATTCTGCTCCCTCCTCCACCTCTACTGGTCGTCTCCTCTTCCCCATGCTCTTCTGTGACAGCCCCAATCACACCGCCGCATGCTGCTACCGCTGCCTCGACGACCCCTTCCGTCTCCGCTTCGGCCCCATGGCGGACCCCTCGGACTGGTACAGCCTGGTGTGTCGTCGTGTGCCTAACTTTGAGATAGAAATTGATCAGATAAGGTCTACTTTGTCTGCCATGTATGCTGATGACTCTAGTGTGACTAGACCCTATTACCCGGTGATAGCCAAGGCTCAACACTAGCCCCTCCACCGATGGACGCTGATGCTTCGCTCTACTTCACGCTCGACTCTGGAGCGTCTGCCCGCTTATTCCAAGACCACACTTTGCTTACGCCTGTTGCCGCCCCTGCCGCTGTCACGCTTGCTGACCCCTCCTCATATCTGGTTGTTGCCCGTAGCTCCACCACCCTTCCTTGTCCGGCGGTCCCCTCGGGTTCTCTTACAGGCCTGCACATCTCCTCATTCTCCAGGAACCTAGTTTGTGTCGGCTGTCTTCAGGACCTCGACATCACTACTCGCACTGTCCTCTGTGTCTTCCTTGGCTTCCCTTTCGACGCGTCTGACTGGCACTTCGGCTCCTCAGTCTTCCCTCCCCTGACAACCCAACTGCGCCTCCCCCGCAGCTGCCTCCCATGCCTATCCACGCCCCCGTGTTTTCTGCTGCTGGACTCGTCTCCGGCTCGTTTCCCCCCTCGTTCTTGTCCAGTGTCTCCTCCTGTGCCTCATGACCCGACGCCTCCGTCCAACTTCTGGTCTCGCCGTCCCTCTCGTGCCCATCCTCTCTCTCCTATTCAGCGCTCTCACCCTATGTTGCTCCGTTCCCAGGCGTCTCGTCCTCCCCTCCTCCCGTCGCCTCCTCTGTCGTCTCTTGTTGTCGCTCCGCCTCTTCTTTCCGACTACCTCAATCCGCTAGTCCTTTTGTTCCTCAAGTCCTTGCCTCTTTTGTTAACGACCTGTCTGTTCCTGACTCGAGTCTTGACGCATTTGTCGCTGCCGTCGCTGACTTTGCCTCTACTCCACCTTGACTACGCCACCGCTCTAGTCTCTGACTCGCCCGTCCTCCGTCCGTAAAGGGTTGCTCCTGCCCTCGGTAGTGACGTCCTTGAGGACCGGCAGTACAAGCTTGTTTTTCTGTTTGAGGCCGCGCCTCATCTCTGCTCCATGCTGCTAGTCCCTGAGGGTGACCTAGACGCCTTTGACATCCCGACCCCTCGCACTTACGCTCAAGCGACCTCCGAACCCTAGGCCTCTCAGTGGATAGCTGCCATGGACGTGGAGATGGCATCTTGGAGATCCACCGGTACCTACGTCGACGCAGTTCCCCCACTTGGGGATGGCCGGTGGCTCTTCAAGATGAAGCTCCCCCCTGGAGAGCCGCCGGTGTTCAAGGCGCGCTACGTTGACAGAGGCTTCAGTCAGAGCGAGATGACCACTCTTTGGGCGCTGCTACACGTAGCAGCTCAGCGTGACTATGATCTGCACTCTCTGGACTTCTCCTCAGCGTTTCACCAAGGCAGTTTGCAGGAGCAGGTCTACCTGCGCCGTCCGCTGGGGATCACTGGCACCTTCGCCCCTGGGACCGAGTGGCTCCTCCGGCACCCAGTTTATGGCTTGCGGCAGGCACGCCGTGAGTGGCACGACACGTCGTGTGCTACGTTAGCTGACTTACAGTTCTTCCCGTCGTCTGCAAACCCTTCACTCTTCGTCGGTTCAGGAGAGACCCCGCTCTACATCCTTGTCTACGTAGACGACCTGGTCTTTGCTACTACAAACAGAGATGCTCTAGCCTTGGTGAAGGCTGAGGAGACACACCTGGCTAACCTACGAGAGCTGTGGCGCTACCTTGTCCTGCAGACCTCCAGGAACAGAGCAGCGCGCACCATCACTCTCACATAGTTAGACTTGGTGCGCTAGATTCTTCAGAGGTTCAGTCTTCAGTTCTCCTCCGCGTAGCCCACACCTCTGCCAGTAGATCACACGCTCTCGGCTCCAATCCCTGAGGAGTCGGTAGAGCCTAATGGTCCGTACGCAGAGCTGGTGAGTTGCCTCATGTACCTGATGAGTTGCACGCGTCCAGATCTTGCATACCCTCTCAGCATCCTGGCTTACTTTGTGGCCACCGGCAAACACCGACCACATCACTGGTTGGCAGCTAGGAGGGTTTTGCGTTATCTAGCAAGTACATCTGGCATGGGGCTAGTGTAAGTAGGAGGATCCAGGCCATTGGTCCTGACAGGGCACACAGACGCTTTGTGGGCCGACGACGTTGAGACGCTCAGGTCCTCTCA